AGATTCTCACAACAAACGAAAATAAAGAGTAAAATTTGCTTTCTATTAAAAATTCTCGTAAAATCTGCTTTCTATTAAAAATTCTCGTAAAATCTCTGTTCCCTCGATTTACGAAAACAAGGAGGGACTTCCTGATTTCGCGGGCCTTGTTGATGTCCTTACATCTCACAATGTTTTTTCTTTCAATTTTGCCCTCCAACGTTTATTTCTCCGTTTTCATCCGTTAGGAATGGCATTTTGGTTATTTTGCTACTAAACAAATTTGGCGGTTATTCACAGAGACAGTTTTCTCTATTTTGCCCTTGATGTTTTTTGCCTGCCTTCCTCTCTTGGAATATGGCTTTTAGGTCTTTTTGCTTTCCCATGTTTTTGCAGTGTTTAGGCTAATCTATTTCCTCTTCTGTATTTGATTCAGTCTTCTAAAATCTGGTCTTCGGTCATCGATCATGGAAGAGGAAAATCGTGTTTTCGATTCTCGAATCCCCTGTCTAGCATGAAAACCCTAGATCTATTTCCTCTCATCAACATCTTTACCACCCGCAGGCAGACCCGAACGCCTTTCATCCGCACATCGAGAAGAGAAGCTGAAGTGAGAATGTTAAGAATGCGAGGGATTTAAGATTGTTTTTATGGCTGTCTTAAATTTTCCTCTTAGTTTTGTTTGAATTATCCAACTTTGGTTGAATTCAATCCAATTCTGTAACTTGAGATTATACTGAATTTGTTTTCAACTGAAGAAATTTCCCTCCAAATATGGTTTAAATTTAGGATCTGATAGTCTTCTCTATGTAGGGGTTTTTTTCAAAATATAATGCATATCAACAACCGGAGGCCTAGTGCTCCTAACGGAGAGCCCACCATGGACACAGTTGATTGGAGAATCCACTGACAGCCTGATTTGCAGCAAAGAATTATCAATATGAAGTAAGTTAAACTATTTTGCGTAAAGTGAAGTGATTGTAGATTGCTTAATCTGTTTTTCTAAAGGTTAAACTTATTACCTTGAGGGGAACCTTAAT